GCACTCACTGATTGTTTCTGACCGGTGTGATAATGGACCTCAATGTCTAGGTGCATTTGACTTGGTCTGGCCTACTTCATCATAAAATTAAATGAAAAGATACTGGACAGAGTACTGAAAAAAGAGGTCTACGTCGCCAACAACCAATTTTGCTTTATGAAAATCGACTTTTTCACACTAACATCCATCTTAGAGAGGGGAAATGCTTAGAGAATTGAATGCTGAAAAAGAATCAGGAGACCTTCAAGCACTTATATAACAAATGAAAAGGTCTGGGATTGATTAGAAAACATCGGTGAAATGTGAGAATAAACGTCAAGATCTGGCAGCCCAAAAAAGGCTGAATGAGGCTACCGCAACAGCTAGACGGAAATAAAATAAAGAATATATCACTGGTTTTAGGAGAGGAGTACTGCGGTGCAGTCTTGTATAGATTCGTGTTCCACTGGTGATACATGAACTAACTAAAGACCACTGGAAAGAAGCTAAAAGCACAAACGGTGAATTTTTAGACAGAAATGAAATGAAGTGACTCTACTTAATAGTACTATATGATAACAAGGAAACATGTCCAGTCCTTCAGAACAGTGATAAAAATTAATACTGGACTACACAGAAAATATGGAAGCTGAGCAACTGAGTTATTATCAAAGAGAATGCTCAGACAGACCCTTCAGACAGCTGGAATGAACTTGTACAAAAAAGCTACCCATAAGCACCACAAAGACAGTTCTAGTACCAAAAACTTCTCTGAAAGCAAGCTCCTTTGATTTACTATGTAAAATCAGAAGTTTTATACGCAACGTAGCGCATAAAGTGAACCTGCTAGGAAAAAGAAAAGCCATTCAATCTTATCAAAAACATGAGACTAGTAAAACTGGCCAAAAAACTTATCAATGGCTAGAAGCGTACTAAAGCATGTCTCTTCGTCATGAAGGGGATAAGCGCAAAGAATAAACATACAGATGACTCACCAACTTATCATGGTTCATGAACTCGACAAAAACTCGCAAACCAGCAATGACCATTTCCGGATCATTGTCTGTCGAAACCACCTTCAGCAATTGCTGTGCACCATCTTTTTCAAACACCAATTCCGCTGCAGCCTTTTCCCGTACCAGCACGATCAAGTTGTTTATGGCCTAGAATTTCATATTTACTCTCTAACATAAATGTACCGTGCACTGACAATTCCATCGATTTCATCTCGTTTGATAGATGTATGTTAACGACATGATCCATCTGCATGTTAAGACGTTGTCTATGAAACTGCTTGCAACAGCTGTCAACAGATTTATATTACATCAAGGTTCGTCGAGCGTTAAAACCTAGATTAACGGAACACAGAACGGCCGTTTCGTACCGTATAGCCTATCATTCTGGTTCTTTTGCCAATCCCCTGGAGAATGATCATGATTTAAAAAACAGCGATGTCACGGTGATCGATCGACAACGCGACAGCATGAAGGTATTAATCAAAGAGTCGCTGCAAATCGCAGACAGAAAAAAACTTGAAACGGTTGCATATGCCTCACTGCCTTTGGTATCATAAGTTGCTTAGCGCTGACCCCTGCCCCACTTCCACGGTAGACTGCACACATTTTTTTCACCACTGCTAATAAGGACATTCGGAGGAGATCAGCAGCACTGAGTCACCAGCAAATTCAAGAATCGCTAAAAATATCGCTTTGTTGCTAAATCGATGAGACCGATTTACGGTAAGAGCACTTCGGCGTACATCGCCATTATGCTCTCCTTATGAGAGAATCCACAAATGAGGTTTTCTGTCTTAACGAGCTTCACTTTTGACGACTGACTCAATCACATCAGATCAGCGATCATTCAATAGTGAGAACTCTTCTCCAATCTTCGTACATAATTGCTATTG